CAATTTACATAATCTTCATTCCCTTTCTTCAGTCAGCATCATCAATTCACATACAAACAAGCAAAACAGTAATTTATGCCAAACAGACAACATACAGCATCAATATCCTAGTCATTCAATCCATAATCAATAAAACAGTAAAATATGCACACGAAACTATAAAATGAAAACATCAAACCTCATACTGCATTTAAAACTGTAAAATAGGCCAAATAACAGTTAACCGACAAACACACTAGACTCGGGCTCCATTAGCGACCTTAAGCAATTTCACACATTCGTTGATTTAAGAAATACCGTTTTATCATTATTGAACTTTAATACCGTGATAGGAAATAGGGTGATGGGTCCTTACTCTTTTCGGGGTCCGAACACGGCTTCACAGTGCGCCTACAGGCTGTCCCAAATTTTTCCTGAATTTTTTTCGGGGAACTGAAACGTACTACTGGTACCTGCACGTGTTCCAAAAAATCCCAAATTAGACCCAGGGCCCCTTTTTGGCCAATATCGCAATTCCGGCACGGCGGCTCTGCCGTGCTCCGGCGACGGCGCCGCCGCTTGGGGCGGCGATTCGCCTCGGTTTGGCCGTTTTTGGCCGTTTCCGGCCGAATTCGGCCACACTTGCATCGGTCATTGTGATAAAACAACCCTAGGGCCCTCGGGGGGCCAAAAAATTACGGAAAACCGAAGCTTACCGGCGGCGGTGCTCTCGGGTGCGGCGGCTCTCCGGTGAGGTTCGTGTTTTGGTGATTCGGCTCCGATCAACCTGTAGAGAAAAGAATGGTGATCACGGTGATATAAAAATTGTATCAAACGGAGGCCGGGAAGGGCCTCATCGGAGGCAAAAACCGAGGAGGGGCGCGGCGGCGCCGCTGGATTTCGGCCATATTTTCCGGCCGTTTGGCCGGGAGTTTGGCTCCGATTTGGTCACAAGGGAAATCAGCGTGGAAAAACGAGTCGGAGGTATGAAATTTACCTTGATCGGCGGTCGAAAATCTCCCCGGTGTGGCGGCGGCCGGCGTCTCCGGTGTCTGGTTCGTCTTCTCCGGCGAGGGCAGGCGGCTAGGGTTTTTGTGGTCAGGTATGGGGGTTCTATTTATACCCTTTTGCCTTTTGATCTCAGCCGTCCATTTTGATTTAATATGGGCCGTCCGTTTTTGATTGAATCTGGGCCGTCCGTGGATTGCATCTGGGCCGTCCGTGCGCACGCTTGATCTGGGCCGTCCGATCGCGCGTACGCGGATCGCCAACGTGGCCCGTCCCCGGTCGACGTGGTTTTGCCATGTGGCAGGTCCTGGTTGGCCAGGACTGCTGATTGGGTCTGCTGACGTGACTGCTGACGTGACGTTTTTTTTTTAAAACCTAATTAAAATATTTAAAATAAAATAATCAATTTTTTTTTTCATATTTTCCGGGCGTTACATATATAAATATATATATTATTGATAAATATAATTTTAATAAAATACAAATTTATCAAAATTATTTTGCAAAACCATGATAATTTTTTTTATATAATTAATAATAATATAATGTTTTAACAAGAATTAAAGCTTGAGCGATCAAAATTTCACATGGGAATAATTGACAAACCGAAAAGTTGTTTGTTTTGTTTGAGAGTAATAGTAAGATGATAGTGCTCCATGCAAAGTTTTATTCATATTTATATCCCCTTTGAAAATCTATACATATAATTCTTTCTCGTATATATATATATGTGTGTGTGTGTGTGTGTATATATGTATATATATATATATATATATATATATATATCACGTGAAAACAGTATTCTCAACACCGTGAGTGAGATATTTACTAATGAACCAATGAATGAAGGGGAATTTGGAAGACAACCAAATTATGATTGAATCACTATAATTTGTTTTTGGAGCTTTGTGTATGTTCGATGAATATAAAAATTTAAACGTAATTAGCAAATAATTAATACCTTTCAAATTCAATGTTTATAAATATATATATATATATCTATATATATATCAATCACTTTTATTGAAAACCACCCAAAAATTATTAACAAATATCTGGATGATACATGTCGGTCATCGTTATCGTAA